TTCAGACTACCTGAACTCTATGAATTAGCATCTACTCTACATAATTTGTGATCTAATATGAGCAGGTGTTAATCACTGTCCTGCATTGCATCTTGTTGATTTCTTCATGTGCAAAGTATATTCTAAAAGGAGTAAAATATAATATATAATTTGTTGTTATACATTGATTGTCTGTTTTTTTAATGTGAATGTTCTTGCTACACTGTGGTCAATTACTACAAAGTGTTACATTCTAAATATATATTCAGTGGTAAATGTACTTCTTTAAAAAATAAAATAAAATGGAATTGTTCTTATTTTTCCAACAAATCTAATCGTGTGTGTGTCGGTGAGGTTAATTGAGGTTCCCATGAGGGAACAAGCTTATAAATCAGAATTGTGAGATATAAGCTAGCAATTGCGAGGGGAAGAAATTCTGAATATTGAGATAAATCACAATTACTAGGCTACCTTTTTTATTTTTTCAGTAATGGGAACAAGCTCCCATATTCTCGACAAATACAATACAATATATCAGTCTTCCATTTTTAAACATCTTTACCCTTGAATTGTGTTCTTGCTTTTCAAAATGACAAATTAAAAATCATTCGCCCGAACAGGGACTTGAACCCTGGACCCTCAGATTAAAAGTCTGATGCTCTACCGACTGAGCTATCCGGGCTCTTACAGACTCTAAAACACATTTCCATTCAAATCATTACGTCATGAACTTCTAACAATACAACTTCCGGATTTGTAGGTTATTTTGGTTTTAGGGGGTGGATGTCTGTAGTTAGGGGTCCTTAGCAATACAAACATCCATATAATCGCGTTTTTAACTGACTTCACTTCACACAGCAAGTTGACAGTTTTAGGAACGTGATTTAATCATGTTCTGTAAATGTGCGGCACGAGCTTCAAGGGCACTGCGGCCTGCGCATCCTCGGTGTGGAGTATTGAAGGTCTCCGCTCTGAGCGCCACTGTATCGGCCAGCAGACCGCCCCGGTCCCGATTGACATTAAAACGGGAATCAAGTAACTCTGCCTGTGATTCCAAGGTAAAATGTGATTATTTTGTTGACAGTTGTTTTGGAATGAATAAATGTTAAATATGTAAATTAACCCATCGATAAGTTAACAAATATTTGCTAACATAGTATTCAGTGCTTATACTATTTGAACATAGTATTCAATGCTTATAAACATATCGCACCCCTTTCTAATTTTCAGGTTCCCCAAATACCCTCATGGGAGCCCATAGATGAAAATCAACTTCCACTGGTAATGCCTCTTTTTGCACATATGTTTTTTTGTACACATACAGTAGCGGGCAGTGTTATCTGCAACCTCGATAATTTTTGCCTAATGACCAAATATTTCTCCAACAAACGAAGCAAAAATGTAGCATGGCTGGGGCAGGAGGAACATTTTCTGACTTTACTTTGACTTATTTAGTACGTTTCTTGAACTTCACAGTAGAGGGCAGCAGAATACCAGTTCAGAATCCAAGCACCGTCACATTTAAATGTAAAAAAATAAAACTAAATTGCATGAACAGCGATTGGTATTGTTCTCAGTACCTAGTTACATGTTGTATGTTGCATGTTGTAACAGTGAATTATTAATCATATGAATGATCAAACCAGCTCATTGGCCCCCAGTTTCAAACCATATGAAGTATATGCTAACATTGATTTTTTTTTTTTAAGTCAAAGTCATATGCAAGGCACTCTATCCCCCGGTTTCACAGACAAGTCTGGTCTCAGGCTAAAATGCATGTTTGAGCTGTTTTAACTGAAAGCAATTTGCACTGACAAATCTTAAAGGGGTGGTTCGGAATTTTGGACATCGGGCCTCATTTCCAAGTGAGCCTTTGTGTTATTTATCTGTGGAGTCAGTTTAAAAAATATCATCCAGTTGCATAGTTCGCCGGTGCTAGACTAGTGCGAGTCAACGGTAACGTTTAGCATGCCATTAAAAGTTTTACCTTCTTATACTGTCTACGAGTTTTACCCACTCCACGTACGATGTGATTGTTGTGAGAAGACGTAAAGCGCAGCAGACCGGCGGGACAGATTTTTTTTTTTTTTGCGGCCGCCACTAGATTTAATACAACTTTTATACTAGATTTTTTTTTTTTTTTTTTTTTACACTAGATTTAATACAACCCGGCTAAAAAACAGGCCCGACCTCTATCAGCCACACCAGGCGTGTAAAGAAACAGGTGTCTATTTGACTCGGCTATTATTTGAAGTTTTACGGTATACACTAACTATACTCTTAGTTACACTCTGTCACTCTACATAATGCATTGAACTGTTACATATTCTCCTCTAACGTTGTCAGTGTCGATCTATCAGTTATGAAAGGGCTAGCTTCATTAGCTAGCTAGAGTAGCCTAACAAAATATATTACCTGTAAGTTACATCTGTACGTTAGCTGTCGGTGCATCTGGAAAGACGCTTAAAGTCGTCATTTTTTTGTCTCTGCCGATGTCTTCTTGTCCAAGCACTGCAGAAATAATCCAAAGTTGAATCCTTTCTGGATCTTCGAAAGGAAATTTGTGAAAACTTCGCGATAAACATTTATTAGGTTTGTTCTTGCGATTGCGAAATGCACACGGATTCCGACTGTTGCGCGCTTCTGTTCTGGTCACTTTTTGACGCAGTAAAGTCTAAGTGAAGTATAATTCCGCCGCTGCTGAGAAACTAGTTCCTGTAAATGTAATGCAATCATTGAGATGAAAATGATAGTTTGATTTCTAACATTATTATCTCAACAGACACTTACATCGATAGTCTGGCGTTATAATTGATTTGCTTTTGGTGTATTGTGGAGTGCGTAAAACTGTTTTAATGGCATGTTAAAAGTTACCGTTGACTCGAGCTAGCCTAGCACCAGCGAACTATGCAACTGGGACGACTGGATGATTTTTTTTTTTTTTTAAACTGTCTCCACTGATAAATAACACTAAAAGGCTCACTTGGAAATGAGGCCCGATGTCCAAAATTACGAACCACCCCTTTAATGTCAGTGCCATTGTTTTGTTACAAAATGCACACCAGTAATGTTTATTTTCTAAGGCACGTATAAAGCTACTTAAATGTCCTAGTTGAACTAAGGCCTAATCCTGGCTTAATCTAAGCACTGTCTGTGAAACCAGGCCTGGGTCTGAAGCCTGTGGTTGATCAGGTACATTACAATATTTCACACATGATCAATAACATATGGCTAAAAATTACAATTTAGGCAAGAATATTAAGGCAAATCAAAAGTCAAAGTCTATTCAAGACTACTTTTACTATGAATTAGCATTTAATGTCCATACTTTATCTGATATGATACGCGTAGGTGTTAATCGTTGCATCTTCTTGATTTCTTAATGTGCAAAATATATTCTAAAAGGAGTAAAAAGTCATTTAGAATTTGTAGCTGTTGTGTTATACATTTATTTAAATCTGAATCTATGCATATTGTCTGTTTTTATGTGAATGTTTTTGCTACAATTACTAGAAAATAATGTTCAGCTCCTATGATATATTAAATGGTAAATTACCCAAAATAGGCAAAACAAAAATGTATTAATAATATAGTAAGAATATGATTTCTTAATTATTAGAGCATTTATATTGTGACACAATTTTGCCTTATTAGTAATAGAAATAATCCTTCATTGCATTTAAAGGATTTTCTTTATTTGTTTATTTAGTTTATTTTCCCAAAATTAGTTTTACACTTCTTTGCAGGCAACAAGAGTCTCACCAGACTTACTGGACAAGTTGGAGAGATTAGCCCTTGTTGACTTCGGCAGTAAAGAAGGGGTGGACTGTCTGGAGAAAGCCATTCGATTTGCCGATCAACTTCATGTCATCAATACTGATGGTGTAGATCCAATGGATTCAGTTCTAGAGGACAGGTATTCATGAAGTTCATCAACTCATAAAAGCTATTTGTGCTAGTTGTGCTCGATACGACTTCCAGTCAGTTTTGATGGGTGAAATAACGCAAGACCTTTTTTTGATGGTGTTTTCTTTGGTTTTCTGATAAAATTGTTTAATATGTCAATGCAAAATGATGGTTACTCAGCCCTGATCTGCCCAACCACTTCAAGTATGTTTGCTCATAGTACAGTGTCAACATGTCACCATTTTATAGAAGCTAAACTTTTCCTTTGAACTTCATGTTGTGTACAGAGACTTGTATTTGAGAGCTGATACTGTAACGGAGGGTGAATGTGCCGAGGAGCTGCTCCAGCTGGCCAAAAACACAGTAGAGGAGTACTTTGTTGCACCTCCAGGTAAAAAAAGAAGGAATTAACCAGAGATGGAAGATCTCTGTACATTTTTTATTATTATTTATAAGTAACTGAATCTGTGTAATACTCATAAATAATCAATCTTTCTTTTTTAATGTAGGAAACATCCCACTACCAAAGAGAGAAGAGAGATCTGCTATGTTTAAACACTGATATGTAACACTGGCTCATATATGTTGCATTATAATAAATATTTATTTAGTATATCAACTGTTCTGTGTCTAGAGAGTGGCATTGTTCTAAACATACTTTATGGAAATTATTAACATTCCCTCTAACAAAACAAAAACAAATTACAAATCAAATATTAATAATTGATAGGCCTAAACTAAGGAACCAACAATAATGGCATATAAATAGAGATAATAAAATAATCATAATTTACAATAAACAAAACATTTACATAAATGTCAATGCAATAAAACTAGACAGAACAGAGAATGTTGAGTTTGGTTTGCTTATCTGCCTTTACATCACTTGATCGTGGGGAATTCTGTCGATAACTGATGTTGGGCTACTACTTTACTTGTTTGTCTATAAATGACAAAGGGATTTATTATAGAAATTTATCAAAATATGTAATGAAATTTCCAGGATTTGATTTGATGTTGCTTAACAAGAATGTATTGTTAATTATTCAGAAATGTGAGCTGAACGTCCTGTCGATACTTCAGCGATTAGTTGAGAATGTAAACAGAAAGTGACGAGTAAGCAGTCGGAAACGAAACATTACTTTGAGGCGGGGTTTGAGTTGATGCTTTATATAGCCTACATTCATGACATCTGCTCACTGACCAGAGACACAATTATTCGGTGTAATTTACCTGACTATTGAGGGGAAAATCCTATTGAACAACCCAGCTCGGTAAGTTGCATAGCCTTTACTTTAGGCCTATGAAATTACTGCACATAGGCTATATTAACGCTAATCGTCCGCTTTGAATAAGTATACGATGTTGTAGCTAGTATTTCAAGTGCTTTTATATTAATCTCTTCCTGACAGACAATGGAACTGAGTCTGATTGTAAAAGTGATGAACGGAGAACCGGAGCCGGTGAACGTGAGCAGTGATACCAAAGTCGGTGAATTCAAGCAGATCATTTCTCAACAGTTCAACGAACCTTGTCACAAACAGAAGCTTTTTACCGACAACGGTATCAACCTTGATGATGATTCCAGAAGCCTCGGCAGTTACGGGTTGCTCTCAGGCTCAGTGGTGATGATGCTGCTGCTCACGAACCCTGCACCTTTCCAAGTGTTTGTCAAGAACGAAAAGGGCCAGACCAAAACCTATGATGTGGATGCCAATGAGACCGTAGATCAGCTCCAGACTAAGGTCTGCAGCATAGAGAGTGTCCCCAAGGATCAGCAGAGATTGATTTACAACGGAAGACAACTGGAGGCTGGAAAGACGCTGCAAGACTGTGGCATCACATCTGGAAGCACTATTCAGATGACTCTCCGTCTCCGAGGAGGATAATGAAGGAGATCCGCGACCAGGATTCATTTCTGATCCAACTCTTTATTAATGACTTAAACATGTCAAAATATAAAAATCCTGAAAGACACTTTTTAGTCGCTATCTAAAGATTATCTATAGCTTATAAATGTCTGATATTAGAATATTTAATTTAAATTAAGATTTAAAGTATTTATGTGATTGAATATATTGTTAAAATATGGATTAAGGATAATCATTTCTCATACAGTTTTAGTTTAAGGTTATATATAGGCCTATATGTGCTGGCCTACACCCTTTGTTGTTATATGAATGTTATGCATTATATTTATATATTGTAAATAAAATGTAAATACCAGTCCTGTGCATTGTGCAGGTTTTATTGACTTGAGTATGGATGGAGTAACTAACACAAAACAGCAGTAGGCTACTTCTAATCATTTCAAAAAAACATTTTCATATTATGGATCACTGGATGTAAAATATAATAATTGTATTAATATAGTAGTCCATGTATCTCCATTTTGAAATAAATCGGAGAAGTGTACATTCCTTAATTGTCTTTTTATTTAAACAAAATTATCACGTCCTGTCCTTAGAACTCTGTACTTCATGTAAAACCTATTTTAAATGTACGAAAAACAGCATTATAAATGATTATATTTTTAAGTATCACTACTTTTTCATGACAGAAATATGTAGTTAAAAATAAAAAGGTTGTTTTTGGGGTCACAGTGCTCTTCTGTGTCAGGTAAAGGTAGGGTAGGCAATTTTCAGACCAGCTAGCAATATTTAGCAAGTCCCTATACCCTTCAGAGCTCTCTCCAAAGCCACACTTCAAAACACACGATCACACACAGCAAAGTGCCGCGAGATGAGAGATGGCGTTAAACTCATGTCTCAAAGCACATAACATTACAATAATGTACAAACAACTTTAAGAGCACTGACCTGTATCACCTGACTGGTGCAGATTCATTTCAACATTGATAGTGTTGTCATTAAAACATAAATTCGAGTCACAAAGCACTCCGAGTATATTGACACATGTTCAGTTATGGCGTGAACGCAGCATAAGCTGGTTGTTTTAGTTCAGGAGGAACAATAAAAGGTGGCTGCTGTTTCTGTTGTGGGCTCGACCTCGGTGACTGACGTCTCTAACTCTGCATAACATGACACACGCTGATGATGTGTGAATTCTAAATGAGAAGGGTGTGGAGGTCTGAAAAAAACACGTTGGAGACATGCAGGTAGAATATCGTACCATTGCATTCAGACCGAATGTCCTTGCATCCTTCCAAAGACGATGTACATATGAATACAGATCACTTAACTAAGTGATTGCTCTTAGGATGTAAAGAGACTTCCAACCAGCTTAACAACAAATGTTTCTGGAACAAATCGCCTAATGAAAACACTTCTAAAATCAGGAGATTTCAGTGTCACGTATCTCTAAAAAATTGAATAATCTAACCAAAAATCATTTATAAATAAACTTTAATACTTCAGTTTTGTAGCCATAAAGCTGTTTTGACATCAAAAGACTCTTATCAACATTTAGAGAAAAGCTTATCCCAGGAAATAAAACACAAAACTGCACTATAAATAGACTGTTAAGCACAAACAAGTCATGGGCCTATTGTGCACCACACCTGTTTCGCATGCTGTATGACGTACTGCTCTCCTACCTGGATTTCCCCCAATCACGTGATCATGTGGAATGTTTTCTCATTCCAATGATCTGTTTTCCTGTTATGTCTAAATGAAACTCAAGCAGACGATTATTTTTATGTTGTTGTTTTTTTTTTTAATTATTTTTTAGTTTATGAAACTTAAATATGTTGATAAACTATGCACTTGTTGATGTATCACATTAAACAAATAGTCCTATACCCATGCAGCAAAAAGCCTACAGAACATTCCCTACAGTTTCCATAGGTCTAAATGCTGAGGTTGCATACGTTTTTGCAATAACCTAAAAATAACCTTTGGCAAACAAAGAAGGTTCTTTAAAAAAGTAGGTTTTATTTTTATAACCATAAACATTTCCTTTCCAGAAAGTTTTTTTTAGGATCCAAACAATATTGGATAGCCTTTAATCGTTATGGATGTAGTTAAAAAGTGGTCTTGCAATATGCATTTATACAAAATGCACAATATATTTAATCATAATATGCATTAATAAAAACACTTGATAAAGAATTATATAGGCACTATATATATAATTATTCTTTTATATTACTAACTAAAGTAATACTGGATTTAGAGGGCATCAAAATTTTCAGAATTGTTCAGCATTACTCCAGTCTTTAGTGTCACATGATCCATCAGAAATCACTCTAATAATGATCTGATGATCAACAAATAGTTATGTAATAAACATTTTTTTTCAGGATTACTTGATCAATAGAAAGTTCAAAAGTTAATTCAACCATGCTGAATAAAAGTATTAATTTCTTTCCCAACATTTTTTTAAATGCATTCTTACTGACCGCAAGCTTATAAATGGTAGCCTAGTGTATAATGTTACAAAAGTTTATATTTCAGATCTGAAGGATCATGTGATGAAGACTGGACAAACGATGGTGAAAATTCAGCTTTTGATCACAGAAATAATTACGTCAGCCACGCCAAGTCTGTCTGACGTCACTGAGAATGAAAACAGAAAGTGACTTAAGTTTTCAGAAACGAAATATTGAGCTGGAGCATGAGTTGACGCTTATAAATATTCATGCCTCGCGTCATATGTGACCAGAGACACATTGTTTGATTTCGGTGTGACTTACTGAAGTTAGGGTATGCCTTGTTGTTTCTTGCGTTTCACCTGTATGTCTTGAATATAGCCTTCGAAAGCATATTGCGGCCCCTTTTGACTACTTCTAGGGCACTTTATTTGCTGCTTTATAAAAGTTTGACAACATTTCAGCAGGAAGAGCTGAAATAAGTAAATACTTATTAATAGCCTAATAGTTAAAAATGCATGACGTGCAAATCGGATAATAATCAAGTGCAATATAAACATGTTTTTTCAAAGCATTGGTCCCAAACCGGTGTTCTGTCGATTTTTGCTGCCTTGTCGAAAAATGCTACCGTACAGCGCGAATTGATCACAGAATGCCGATTAAAGTCGTATGATGAAATACAATTATAATACAATTCTAAGTTATGAGTAGCTACTGTATACTGTAGACGACTATTTTTACTTTTAAAACGGTGTGAAAAGTAAAAATTATCATAAAATATTCATCTTTGACTTGTCAAAGTACACCTTTCCTCATAACTGAAAATTTCAGTTATTCTTTTTCAGCTGGCTGGCCGTACAAATATTCATATGGTAGTAAACATTTTTTAAAGGGAAATTATATATTATAACAGGAAAATGTACCTTTTGTAAAAAAAAAAAAAATAAAAAAAAAAATCTGTGAGTCTGCACATGCGCATAACCGGTAGCAAATCTCGATGCATCAACACTACATTTCAACATCTGCTTCCTCCTTCACACGCATCTGCCGTGATTAAACTTCTCCACAGTTGTTCCATGAAAACACGAAAAGCTGAGAAGTGATAGATATGGTTGTTTCTTCTTTGGTTTGAAAGATTAAAAGGTAAGCAACGGGACGGACCGGTTTTAGGCTCGGCATTTGTCCTGGCTCCGACTGCAACTGGTAACGCTATCACCGGAAAAAAGTTTACCCTACTTCCGGTCTCGGCCTATTCAGCGAAAGTTGGACAACCCAGCAGCTCGGTATGTCGCATTTGCCTACAAACATCGCTCATTATTTTTAACGCTAATCTCTAGTTTAAAAAAGTATTTAAAAAGTAGTTATATGTGGTTGTAGTAGTTCTAATGCTTATATTTGATCTTATACGGGCAGATATGGAACTGACAGTAAAACTGAACGTAGATGAGAAGCGGCTGGTGGTGAGCGAGGATGCCACAGTTGGTGAACTCAAGCAGACCATTTCGCAACACTTTCTGTCGCTTTCTACCGACAACGGTATCAACCTTGATGATGATTCCAGAAGCCTCAGCAGTTACAGGTTGCACTCAGGCTCAGTGGTGATGCTGCTCATCAACCCTGGACCTTTAGTGATGGTGAGTCCGGGCAGTGGAAATGTAGTTTGTGAGTGAAAATAGTCTTATCTGGAGTGCCCTCTGGTGGCTCTCAAAGGCACTCCAGCTGGTGACCGTTACAGGTTTACACGTGTAATAATACATGACACTTAACTGTACAATGGGCTATATGCACGCATAAGTTCCGCATTTGATGTAAGGATGCTCGTCCATTTCCGGTTGTGTAGATTAAAGCGGAGGAAAACCGGAGAAAACGGGATTATGGCAGAGTCTTCAATATTTACTGTCCTTCCGTCTTTGAAACGAAACGTACATACGTTTAGATGTAATTTTATATATAGTTATGTTTATTTAATATAATTTTAAAAAGAATCATAAACACAACGAGGGGTGTCTGTTTTATCTTTTTTTGTGACTAACGTTTCATTAGTATAACCATGGAGTATAAAATTCAATATAAATTCTCAGTATTGCATTGGACTCTATGATCGGCGGAAGTTATCGAGCATCCTTAATCCTTCACCGGAAATAACGCCGTGCATAGAGCCCATTGAGACCAAACTTAGAGTACAATAATAAAACAAATGTTCTGTAGTTTCATTATCAGTTTCACAAAATTGACAAGAGTTTTCTCCAATATCAAATTTAGATTTCAGGAATTTTTTAGATGGGTATATGTTATTTGTCATTTTAAAATGAATTTATTTTACTTTAAGGAGACCTGGAAAGGTAAGATAATTCATTCTCAATTCCTTGTCCTCCTCTGGGTCAAAATCTTTAAAAATATTGTAATGTTGTTCAATGAAGTCTATAATAACACTTCTGATATATTTGTTACATTTATGATATTTTGATAATTCTTCACCCAGAGAAGGAGATGGGAGAGAGAATGTCACGGAGTGGTGTGAAAGAATAGGCCTACCCTTTACCAGTAACTCCATGTTTTTTGGTTTGGCATTTACAATTATGTAAAACTCTTTCAGGTGACATGCAAATCCATGTTTCAAACACAAATCACTGAACATTACCATAGTTGTCCGTCATCATGTCCAACAGGGAAAAGATGGTGTACTGAATCCAGTTTCCATAAAATAAAGATTTGTTAATGTGTAAATAAAGCGATTTGGATTACAAAAGAAAGATCAGTTATTTTAGATTTAACAGAATAAATGTGTTTTATAGGCTAGGCCTGTTTACAGCGACTAGTGTTAGAGGCCTTTGTGTTAGGTTATACATTTTACATATATGTGTTGGGAAAAGGAAGAAGAGAGAGTAATCCTACGGCAAAAGGCGGATTCGAACTCGGGTCGAGCGCATCACTTCACGCAACTTACGCCACTATCCATTTCATGACGACCATCTT